CCGGGCGTCTGAACGATCCCCGGGGAGTTGCCTCGGAGAAGCCCGTGCAGAGAGAGAGTGTGTGTGTGTGGGGGGGGGTGTCTACTCTGCAGGGTAGTTGTAAGGCTGGCAAGCGCGCGTGCCTTTGAGCGGGTGGGGGGGGAGATAGACAAAGGAAAGTATGCCTTTCTATAAATTACCTTCTATAAACCCATCATCTTGTATGCTTTAGGCAGCTTGAACGTTCACACATTGTTAAAAAAAATGACAGGGAGCAGGTTTTCAGACTCAAGAGTGGATTTCTACCATGTTTCCCCGAAAATAAGGCAGGGCCTTATATTAATGTTTGCTCCAAAAATGCATTAGGGCTTATTTCCAGGGGATGGTTTATTTTTTTTTCATGTACAACCATCTACACTTATTCAAATACAGTCATGCCATCTGGTTGCTGCACAAGGGTGGAGGGCGGGGTTTCACTTAGCAGCGGCTTATTTTTGGGGTAGGGCTTATACTAGGAGCATCCTGAAAAATCATACTAGGGCTGATTTTCAGGGCAATAAGGTGCTTGCATAAACCATCTTCCCTAGACAATATAAACACTTCATAGGGGCCTACCTGGAAGGGATGGTTCGTTTGGCCCGGACCTGCTGTCGGCTCCATGCAGCAACCAGCATGATCCAGAAGAAGCATAGGGTAAAAAAAAAAAAAAGCCATGACTAAAGGACCCTCATTGCTCAGTGAGAGGATGCATGTGCTTCCTGTAGAAGGGCCCGGATCCTGGCCAGCATCAACCAGTTAAGACAAGAGATTCGCGATAGGAAAAGGCCTCTGTCTGATGAGTCCTGCAATGCTGAGATTTTGAGAAACTGGTGACGCTGTTTCTGTGGGCACCTCGCTCCTCATGGATTGCTCCCGGTCTCTTCCACCACAGCACAAGGTGCAGCTTTTTAATGTTGGTTTCAAAAGCGTTCTTAGAAAACTTGGAAGTCAATGCCCTGCTGCACCTAGTTTTGATTTCGCCATTTGCCTCGTCTTAGCCATTCCTGGGGTAGGACTTTATACCCTGCAAGGGATGACTCCTGCCTGTCTCTAGACTACTAGAGGAACAGAGTCGGACCTGGCATGGGACCTTCTCTTATGCCATTCTGGAAGAGAGGGAATACATGAGCGACCAACTGGGCCACCCTGGAGAGCAGCAACGCTTGGAAAATTAAAATGGCATTTATTGTATAATTCCTTACAAAGCATGCACACACTCCTTAAGCAACCTGCTACTATTAATACTGGGATCCACCTTCAGTAACTCATTGCTTTCTTCACTATGATATTTTTTTCTGTTGCTTTTTTGGGGAAAAGGGTTACCAATCCTTTAAAAGGATTTTTTTTAAAATGGCTGTCAATTTAAGACCATTCAAGAAACAGTAAGAGTCCAGTCTCCCAGGCTAGCCAACTTGTGTGCTTTTGTTAAATGCCACAAAGGCGACCCTCGGGGCTCATGCGAGGGAAACCATGTGCTGATGAAACGCTTGGGTCTGTTCGGCATGAAATATCCCCATCTCCCACACATTCCTGCCTTTGGCCCAGAGGGTCCGCCAGATGGTGTTAACCAGGAAGGGTGGAAAGGAGCAGGAGAGAAAAACACTTCACAAAGCCTTCGGTCCTCAACAGAAGAGTAGACAAATGAGAAACCAGGTGCATTTTTGCTCCCTCCACAAGCAGAAGTGTGTTGGTTCTATCACTGGGAGAAAGAGACAAGATGCTCAAGGGAGCAGCCCCCTACTCACAGGGAAGCAATTCAGAGGCAAACTGAATATTGGAGGGAGGGTTGAGATTAGCATACATGACCATCTTTGAGTCCTGCACTAAGATCTCATCTGCTGCCTCATGCATTATAATGCCAAAGAAATAGGGAAGTTATTGAACAGTGGAATATTTTTGAAGGGTGGGTTGGGTGAGTAAGGACACGTGACCCATCTGAGCCCAATCAGGAGTAACAGCTCCTATTTTTCACTGCTTGGTCCTTAAAAAAAAGCCAGCCAGAATCCAATTGCCAATTTGCACCTGCATGAGAAAAGTTGCACAAGATTTTGCAATAAATCAGCACTCATTTAAAAAGGGTCTGGTTGCCTTCCTGGGAGTCCACCTAACTGTGGATCAGAGATCTGATTAAGAACTCAACCGGCACTTATTTCCTTGATTCAAGCTTAAATTGACAATATGTTTTTGGTTGTCTGGATTTCACCTTTTGTGGGAAAGATATGATGGGAGAAAGACTGTGTGTTCCCAAAATATTCCATGTCGGTGGATAATCTCTCTTGCTAAATACTATTCAGCTTGTGCTGGAGAGGGGGGGTGCCCTCTTCTTAAACTTAAAGCAAGCATATGTGCCATCAAGTTGGAACTGACTTCTTGTGTGACCCTAACAGGGCTTTCAAGGTAGTTGAGATATTTAAAGACTGGTTTTACCAGTTCCATCTCCCCAGTGAGTTTCCATGGCTGAATGGGGATTCAGACTCAGGTTTCCTGAGTCCTAGCCCATCATCCTATTCATTACACTGCAGTAGGCATCCTAAAGTAAATGTAGGGAGTCCAATTGAAATCCTGAGAAATTGGGAGGATTCCAGTAGTGGGTGGTTCCAAATGCAAAAAGATATCACGAAAACGACCAGCATATTTTAGCTTAAAGCTGTTACTTTTAGTAACTAGAGTGCCAACAGAGGCATTTCAGCTTTTCAGGAGGATGGGGGGGGGGCGGCAGGATAAAAACTGGGAAACCCCCAAGGGGTGGTGTCACAGGGAAGGAGGCAAGGCCATCAGAAGTATCCCAGGACCCAGCTCTGAGTTTTAATTCAGGCACAACTGGACCAGTTCTTACACTTTGTAGATTCTCTGGTTTGTTCTCTTGCTATGATGACCTGTCTGTGGAATTCTCTCCCGCTGCCCACACTGTTGTGTTGTTTGTTTGTTCGCATCCCAGCATTTAAGAACTGTGAGATCTTTCCCCTTTTGATCTGCCACTGGGTTATATAATGGCTTTTCTGATATACTATTTCTACCTTTTCCTGCTGATGTTACCTACATTGTTCTGGTTGCCTTTTGCCTTTACTATTGTTTTATTGCAGTAGGACCACGCATTGGAGGAGGGATCAGTTCCAAGCCCCTCCCCCAGAGATGCTTAAAAACCGTGGAAGTCTTGAACTCCATACAAGCCCCTCCCCCAGAGATGCTTAAAAACGCGGAAGTCTTGAACTCCATACATTACATGGGCTCTGGCTCCCTCTATTGGCCAGTTCTGGTAAATACACCCTGGAAATTCATATAAATAGGTATTTCTGAGGTGGGGGGGGTGGTTATTTAGTATTTTCAGCCAGCAGGTACGTACTGATCCTGCAGATAGTGGGGTCCTACTGTATGTCATACTTTGTGTCTTAAGTTTCCCTGTATGCTGTTCAGGAAATTCTGGTTATTGGGCAATGTATAGGAGTAATAACACTTAATAAAAAATAGAATAATATAAACTGAAGTTTGGGTGCACTTTTCAGGGGGCTTTTACGAATACCCATGTTATTCTTTTAGCATATTTACTTTAGACTGAAATCATAATATTTAAAAAGCAATTACTCTATTTTATCTATTTTAATACAGGTAATGGCAGCAGCACTTTCAGAAGCTAAACAGCGTTGGGACTTTTGAGAGCAGGAATGTTCATTGTTTTCACAGAAAGAAAGCTTTTATTAGCTTTGATTTCTTCTCAAAAGCTGGCTGACTCCCACACACTCGCTAAAAAGCCTTCATCCTACTTCTCAGGGGGTGCACAGTACAATAAGACAAAGAGGCATGTCTAGAATACTGGGGTGCAATTACATTGAGAAATAGTTACTATTTTAAAACTTGCTAATGGAGATTTCCTACAGGGCATTATTTTCTCTCCTTTTTTTGTTTATTCTTCTTTTTTGAGACAAAGAAAACAAGAGCCAGACTGCCAAGCTGCTAAATCTTTTTCTGAGAACAAGCTCCA